GCCATAAAGCCAGTGTTTATAGTTATTTGCTAGCAGTAGTATAAATGTGTTTTATTTGAGACAGAATGAATATTTGTTTAAATAGACACTATAGTCACCAGGACCACTACAGCTTGTTCTGGGGCACAAAGTCTGTCCCTGCAGATTGAGCATTGTAAACACTTTTAGTGGCTGCCACTTGGACAGGCTTTAGAAGGATTTCCTGGATGAGGTTCTGCAATCTTTGCAGGACATACGTTCAGTAGAGATTCACTGAACCAGTGCATCATTATGAGGAAATACTAATTGTCGCAGCATTTGTGATCTGCAGGAAAAAGAAATGGCCCTTTGAACTCTCCGATGTTGCTTTAGCGCATGTCTTTTCTGTAACTTTATTTAAAATTTTTTTGTGCACATGGACTAAACAGTAGCGTGGCTGCTATCAGTTTATGTAGCAGTTCCACTTGTGTATATGATGAATAGAACTGGGATAAGCCACTTATACTTAATACGCATCATAAACCACAATAAGATACTCCTAAATGAGATGCTTTAAAGGACCACTATAGTGCCAGGAAAACATACTCGTTTTCCTGGCACTATAGTGCCCAGAGGGTGCCCCCACCCTCAGGGACCCCCTCCCGCCCGGCTCTGGAAAGGGGTTTAAACGTACCTTTTTCCAGCGCTGGGCGGAGAGCTATCCTCCTCCGTTCCGCCCCGTCGGCTGAATGCACACGCTGGCTTGCTCTCACTGTGAAAATCACAGTGAGAATCACGCAAGCGCCTCTAGTGGCTGTCAATGAGACAGCCACTAGAGGATTAGGGGGAAGGCTTAACCCATTAATAAACATAGCAGTTTCTCTGAAACTGCTATGTTTATTAAAAAATGGGTTAACCCTAGCTGGACCTGGCACCCAGACCACTTCATTAAGCTGAAGTGGTCTGGGTGCCTAGAGTGGTCCTTTAAGGTTTACTATTTATTTTACTTATTTATACAATGCATTAGAAATAGCGAGTTATTTTCTTCCTTTCCATGGTAATCAAAGAAGAATCCCAACAGCCATGTTTAGTGCATTGAGTTGAATGCTACATACCACAAATCAACACTTTTTTTTTTTTATGCTGGCCATCATCATGGAGAAGTGATATGTGCCCTGATTAAACACTGGCAGGATTATGCACTAAAGTGAGAATGGCTGGGAATTCAATGTGAATTTAAAGGAACAGTATAGGGTCAGGAACACAAACATGTATTCCTGACCCTATAGTGTTAAAAACACTATCTGGCACCTAAATATAGTAAAACCTTACCTTTATTCCAGTCTGCTGGTGTTGGCTTGGCCCCTGGTCTGCCTCCTTGGTTGACATCATCAGAAGTGATGATCTCAGCCAATCACAATACTTTCCCATAGAAAAGCATTGGATTGTCTGAGATTGTCAATTCTGATGATCTAAATCAGGCTGGGGCTGAACCAAACGCCACCCTGGTCACTCAGCATCTCCTCATAGAGATACATTGAATCAATGCATCTCTATGAGAAAAGTTTAGTGTCGCCATGCAGATGGTGGAGACACTGAATGCCTGTGATGCACACTGTGCAGCGCTGCCACAGGAATACTCTGAGCAGCCATCTGAGGAGTTGCCTGTGGAGGTGTCCCTAGGCTGTAATGCAAACACTGCCTTTTCTCTGATAAAGCGGTATTTACTGCAAAATGCCTTAAGGGAATGATTCTACTCACCAGAACAAATACAATAAGTGTCAAAATAGCTTAACTGAAAACAGAAAAGACTTTCTTTTTTTTTAATTCAGCTATTTTGGTCTACATTTTAAAATGTATTTTTAAATTCCCAACAAGTCTGGTTCTCCTTTGACATTTTCCTAATTTGGCTGCCATTTCCTCCATGTTTTTCCTGGACACATATCAATTATATAGATTAGCAGCACATGAAAAGTGCTGCTTTGTAGAACCTGACATTAAATAGTTGCAGGTATCGAGATGAATCGCTCTGAAATCCAGCAGTACTATATAAATGTAAAATAGTCAGGGCAGCTCTTTACAGGTGCTGCCCATCAACCTGAAGAAATTATGGTTCTGGCAATCAACCCTTCCTGGTCCCACATCCTTCTTTTGGAAACTCTCCTTCATGCTCTTTTTAAATAGAATAGAACATCTATACATTGTGTTAGCAGATTTGCTAGCAAATGTATAGATTGGGAGAATCAGAATAGATTGGCCTATTTAGAAATAGGTCTTTCTCCCACCTGTCAAATTATTTGGCATAGGTGCCTTCTGCTCTCTAATAATAGCAGGCAATGCACATGCGCTGTGATTGCTATGTTATCTCCTTAGCTAATGCTGCTAGGGCTGGTCAGGGAGTATAGACATGGAATAACGTTCAGATGCCGGCATGCTGTCAATGATACAAGCATCTCAGCATCACAAATGAGGTTTGCACTGTTTGGGAAGTGTCCCCATGCAGGGCAAATCAAACCAGAGGGAGGATAGAGCATGGATGAGCCAGGGATAGGTGTTCTAGAAGCGTGAGGACATGGTGGTGCTGGATCAGAGGTGTGGAGAGTTTATATCTCATAGTTTTACATTGAATACAACGTGTCTCTCTGTGATATAGGATGTATTTAAGTGAACCTGTCATGATGACTTTCTGGTTACAGAACTTTGGCAGGGGAACACTATCATAAAATATAAAAAGTTATTTTTGCATGAAATGCATTAAGCAAAATTTTAGCATGTTTAACGCACACATTATGGTTATATTATGATTAATTTGCAAGGCAATAAATTGAAATGAATATCATGCAAGTTTTACAATGTAGTATCTCTAAGGTAAGCCTTGATTTAACACTGTATATCCCATAGGGTGTGTGTAAGCATGGAGTTGCTCATCCTGTTGCAATGTAAGAGTTAAAATTATACGTTATAAAATAATTTCCCACGGGGACTCTAACAATTATTGGCTACATCAATTCATAGTCCTGGTGGAGAGCCTGTTTGTTTTACCTATAAACAAGCATTTTTCATTAAGATGACTCTTCTATTGTCATCTTATTAATTTATAACCTTGCTCATATATGTATTTTTTTTTTTATTTACATTTTTTTTAATTTTTTAAAAATATGTTTCCAGTGCTAGTGAATTAAAACGTAAATGTGTTAACAATTACTTATTAATAGGCTTCATTACTTTCTCATTTGGCATTATTTTTTTTCTCCTATGGATATTTTAGTGGAGTCAATAAATGCAGTAACAGTATTATAGATAGGGTGTATAATTTCCTTTGTTGATCTTTCTTTATTTTACCGAGTTTGTGTTTGTTTTTATTTTAATTAAATTTTTTTATTTTTAAAACTTCTTTATTTTTTGGTTGCACTTCACATAAAAAGATTGTCGTGAAACACAGTTTTTGACGATAAAGTATGTGTGCGCATACAGTTAGGTACTTTGTTAAGGCAACATACAGATGTTAAGTATAGTACATGAATTGAATATTTTTTATTTTATGATAACTTCTCTAGCTTAAGACGCAGTACTAAAACTGATAGGGGCCATCTGACTAAACTACCATGTGGGTGATCAGTGCCTAGGTTTCTCGTTCTGTAGCTGAAGTGGCTGTGGTGTAATACCGGATGACGGATATGGTCCACAGTTGTACCGACAAAAATTATGGCTATATCTTCATGTGTTACTGGATAAAGGTGGGGGGGATGGGATATTATTTAGGTTGAATAACCTATCAAGCTGAGGGTGGACAGGGTGTAAATACACAATCTATGGCGTTGAAACAAAAGCTGAACATAACACAAAAGAAACGTTAAAGTAAAAAATGATGTGCACAGTTGTCAGGATAGAACTGAGATCCAACACGCAAAATGTAGATACAAGGTAACGTATACTGGACCTTAGAATGGCCGGACTAACGTATAAGCACAAGGGGTAGTCAAATTCAAGCTGAGGTCAAGGAGTACAGAAATCAGGACAAGCGAGTAAGCCAAAGCCCGATTAAGGAGTATAGAAAACAGAATAGTCACAAACAAAGCCAAAGTCAAAAGCTAGAATACAAATCACTGAATACAGAATAGCACTATTGGGACCAAAATAGAACCACAACAGGACAAGGGACCTAACACATAGAATCCCTTTTATACTGTGGCTGTAGCTTATTATAACGGTAGCCATGCCCACAAAACGTCCTAATTCTAACGTTTTGTTGGCACGTGACGTCATTAGCGCCATGTCGTCGACGCCCCTTTTTTTCGTCATAAAAAGGGGTGGAGATATCGCGGCCGGCGCGAAAACAGCTAGAGCAGGAAGGGGAGAACTGAAGAGGACCTGCAGCAACATGTGAGAGGTGAGTACCCTGGGGAACAACCCTGGTCACCTTAGAAGGGACCCTGACAACAGTGTGTCCGATTTGAGTTAGTCAGATAGTGTCCACTGCAGGAGGGTCCAGAGGGGACTTCCTGGGAATGAACGGTGTCACTGCCGCCGGGTTCCACCTGTGTTTGATCTGCTGCATGGGGCCCCGTCGTTGACCTAAAGTCCTGAGGGATGTTCAGGGAGGTCAGCAGCACCTTCACTTTGGTCATGTTGTGAATCATGTGTTTGTCTTTGTCCTTGAGGACCAGGAGCGTATAGGCAGAGCGCCAACGGTATGGAATTTGATGTTTTCTTAGCAAAGTTGTGACGGGAGCTAGTGTCTGCATAGAACATGAGACATCGCCTTGAAGGCGTAGGGCGAATGGTATGGCACTGCTGTTCCCACTGCGGCCTTATCCTTGTTGTGTTGGAAGCGGACCAACAGCTCTCGAGGTGCCCCACCTGGAGCTTTGGGTGACTTGGGGACACAAAATAATCCCTCCAGCTCCACCGCTTTTCCCTGCTTTGGGGGCAACAGCGCAGCGAACAGGCGTCTCAGGAGATTGGGCAGCTCTGCTGCTGGTATATCTTCAGATTCGTTCTGTACATTATTGTCATTTATCTCTGCAATACGTCAGTCATACCTTTCGTTTTGGTGCTGCAGATCTTTGATCTTCTGCTGTAGAGAGGTGATTTGTTGGGCTTGCTCCCCTGCATTGGTCTCCAGGGTCCCCATTCTGCTTGATAGTCCCCGGATTTCTCTGCAGATTTTGGCCGACAGTATGGTGGCCTGGAGTTCAGCCAGGAGTCTCTCTTTAGGGCCTTTGTGGTCACTGTGGAGTCGGGGGTCACAGGTGCTGGGTCCGGGGGCCGCGTAGCGGGAAGCCCCTTCCATGTGTTCATCGATGGAGAAATTGTCGGAGAACTCAGTGTAGGCCTCAGGGTATGTGGCCTTCTTTTGCCCAGCTGCGCTGGTTGCTTGGCGGAGAAGATCCCCTATGTGCAGGACCGGTCACGGCTTGTCTATCTTCAGCTTTTTATTTTTTCAGCCCATCTCGATTCCCCGACGTTAGGAGAGACCGTCAGGGCCAATAATTTTGGTCTTTGGGCCGTGAAAAGGGTAGAAATATCCCCAATTGTACGGACCTCTCTCGGATCGTGTTGCCCAGCTTGGGTGCTTGGCTCCGCCCTCTGTTTTATCCTATATATTACTGTAACCTCTGATAAAGACCTGTTATGTGGTTTACCTCCAAGTTGCTTTACCAACGTAAATTTAATGCTTTAAAATAGTTCATGTTCGACAACGTGATGTCCAGTAAAAATCGTGAACAAGTAGAAAATTATACTTGTAATGCGAACAAAATGTTCGAACATATTCCCATCAAAACTCTGTATTAATATAATAGCCTATTTTAAATTTTTTTTTTATATATATATATATCTATCTATGACAGTTGCATGTAATGGACATTTCACTAAATACCCATTTTGCCCAGGGCACATAACCTCAACCACATATTTTACATCACACGGTCATTTTAATGAAAATAACTGAGCGCGACCAAAAAGAGTTAAACTATTGTTGAACTACAGTTCCCATAATTCTGTGCAGTGACATGTTTCCCTCCTCACCTTCTTCTCCACAATGTTTCACCCCAGAATATCTGATAACTTCACAGAAACGTGTCCATTTTATTCACAGTGCATGTGCAACCAACGGCAACGCCATGTTATCAGTGATCTATGATTAAACCCATGTTGGGTGAAACCAACGAGAATTTTGTTGCTGTGGCACAGAAAAGCACTAAGAAGCATTTTCTATAACTGAGATTTTGTTTTCTTGTGCCTATGATGACTGGTAGCCACCATTTTTGATCATTACTACTAATTACTCCCTCTATAATGCCAGGATTCTATAACTCCCTTGCCAGTGCTGTCAGACTTTTAACATTGGACAGCTAAGACGCCAGGGAGTCAAAATTTTTGTCAAACTGCATGACAACTGATACAAACCGGTTGCCAGACTCCCAAAGTTTATTTGCACCATAACCACTAAAATGAGTCAGTGGGCATTTATAGTGGTTAGAGTACGTCCCTTCAAAAAACACTGGTGTTCTGAATCCACCTCAGCCTGCAAGCTCTCTAAGCAGGTAAGTCGTTCTTTAAATTTGCAACTATTCTTTATCCTTGCTTACACATCATTCTGCTTCCAATATGATCTCTCCATTCAGCTCTAAATAACCAGCACTGATCACATTTTTTGAATGTGAAATAAACCTGCTCTGTGCTTTATCACTTAAAATTTAAACATTCTTGAACCTTTTATCCTTCGCAGTTCATATTTATCTTCTTCGCAATGCCTTCATTGGGTCCCACATTTCTATTGATGAATGGTAGGTACTGGAAGATCTATTGATGACAGTGAGACAGTTTAAGATGCCGAGTGCTATGTCTTTGCATATCATTAGATCCAGCCAGTTGTTTGCCTCTTGAAAGCTGTCGATTTGTGCATTATTGCTGTTCAGCCTGATAAATGACAGTAATTGTTCCTAAGTTGGAAGTACTAGGTTATTATGCTGACTTGCATAAGAATTTCTTCGCTCTGGGATAAAACTAGCCCTTTGCTTGCTTTAATAGAATACCTGTCATGTCCTTTTTAAAACTATTTTACATGCTTACGAGTGACATAAAGATATAATTATGTTTTAAGGCCTCAACAGGTCATTTGTGATGAAAAAAGTGGCCAAATAGTCAGATTATGTTATATTACCGTAAATAATATTATATATGAGGTGCACGTGGATGTGAATAGGAAGCTTTCATAAGTCAGGGTATTTATTAGGTAAACAGATGGTAACAGCACTGAGGTCTAGATTTTTAGTATTTTTACAACTATTTTGATTTGTATTTTGCAGTTTATTGGGAGTTCAACAAAGCCTGCTGCTTGATAAATAAATACTGCAAAGCGTATTCACTAAAATGTAAATTACGTGGAATTCTAATTGATATTAAAATTAAGGACATGATACCCAAACTTAAAATTTAGCTGACTTGTAGAAAATTACAGTTTGGGTATTTTTACTGAGAGGGTACTTGTCATGGTAGATAACTCATGCTTTTTTTTAATAGCATAACATTCTGTCTATAAATTGTGCTAGCAGATTTGCTAGTAAATGTACAGATAGGGAGTAAAACCTATTTAAAAACTGGGACTGGGTTTCTCATCCCATGAAATACCTAAATGCCTAGATTTGAATTGGTCCATTATGGCTAGAATATTCTCTTGGGGAACCAAAAGCATTTGTTTTCAGGCCAAATTTGAAATAGGTGTGTTATACAACTAAATCTAATATAATGTTGTTTATGCAGCCTTAGCCACACCTCCCTGCCTTCCTAAACACTTCCTGTAATGTGAAACCTAATGTTTAGACTTCCTTTATTGAAAATACCATTTCATTTAGAATTTCTTATCTCCTGCACTGTTGATAGCTTTTAATAGACCCTGCAGTAACCCCCTGTATGTAATTAAAGTTCAATTTACAGTTCAAGAGAGAAAACATTCTAAAGTAAGTGAACATCTGATTGAAAATGAAAGTTTTGTTTTTATGCAGACTGTGTCAACCACAGCCAAGGTAGATGCGGTTAGGGCTGTATGACTGAAACAAAAGTGATTTAACCACTAAAGAGCAGAGAATTTAGTAGTGAGGCTTCAGAGCTATGATTCATACACAAAAAATGCTTAATTAAGCTAAAGTTTTTTTAGTGACTGTAGTGCCCCTTTTAAACCAAAATAGCTGGGTTGGAGATTTTTCTTCTTGAATTTAGCTTGTTTTTTTTTTTATTTTTTTTTATTAATTATTTATGCCTCCCTCCAACACGTGACATGTCAAAGATAAAACACGTAATAGGAAGTCATGACATCATATACGTAGCCGTGTACGTTTATGAATATAAAGCGATAGAGATAAGGGTAGTTGGAGCAAGTATTTTTTATTTATTGTATGAAAGAGCTTGGACTGAGTAAGTTATGGACCATGTAGCACAGCAGTGCTATTTAGGAGCCTTCGCCCACAGAGGAAGGCCTAGTGGCTAGTGGCCTGTTAAGAGACTAAATGGCTGATATGCCCAAAAATAAAGGGAGTTCAATGGTTAGGTTAGTATATTATTATTATTATTATTATTATTATTATTATTATTATTATTATTGGTATTATTTACAATATTATGAAAGGGGGGGACATTTACAATAAATGAGACAATTACACAGGAACAATAGGTTCATGAAGGCCCTACTCAAACGAGCTTACAGTCTAGAGGACGAGTTTACAGTCTACAGGTACATGCTAAGGTATTGGAAGTAGGTGGTAGCGCATGAGAGAGGGGCAAAGCACCAAGGGGGGTGTGGAATTAAATGGATCTGACTGGCCATTAAGAATTGGTTTAGAAGCATCTGGAAATTATAGAATCGGTATAACTTGGCAAAACTGTGCATGAAAACTAAAGGAAAACAAAATTAAAATGTTATTTCCAGTCCGGCGGCACACTTCTCCGTGAGGAGGCAAAGCTCAATCCAAGTCCACTGGTAAAGTTTCATCCTGTATCGGTCTGAGAGCGAGGCACGAGGGGACAATGTTAGGTATGTCCCAGGGATGATGGTGTTGGCCTTGAGCTTATTCAACCCCAAGCTGCGGTGGAAGGGGTCATAAAGTTCACAGTTTAGTGAATAATTTTCAAAAGTGTAGTAAATAAACCAAGTAGTAATTATTCCCTTGTTCAATTTTCAGTATATAATGTATTTTAACCCATTAAGGACCAAACTTCTGGAATAAAAGGGAATCATGACATGTCAAACATGTCATGTGTCCTTAAGGGGTTAAAGGAAACAATCACTGGACCTGTGTTCAGGTAATCACCTTTGTTTTTCTTTTTGTTTTGGCCCATTTCCCTGATTTAAAGAAACGTTCTAGGTACAATAAAAACCTAATCAAATTTTAAATTGTTTTTAATGTGCCAGGAGATCCCTGGGCACTTTCTTACCTGACCTCCAGTGCTGGATCTCCAATTCCCTTAGCGGCATCCAACTTCTGAAATTGACTATCAAGATGCGGGGTTCCTCCGGGCAGAACCGAGTCTGACCATTCTCACAGGGGAAGCGTCTCATATATGCCTTTGATTGCAGTCTCTTAATGAATTAAGATTATTTAATGGAATAATTGCTCAAGTTGCTCACTGCCTGTGGATTGTCAGTGGTAGGGGTACTATCTCAGTCTGCATGGTGGTAAGTGCCTTCTTGCTCCAATTCCCATCTCATGTCTGGCAACTCGCTGATAACGTCATAGTTGTAGGGAAGGTGCATAGATTCCAGTTTTATGCCGTGATTGCAACCTTGCTCAGAAAGTGGAAACAATTCTACAGTCAAATGTTTCTATATCAGAGGTTTCGCACACCTCACTTCCTCCGTTTGCGTGGTGAAGCTGATGGTAGCACCGTTGACTTGGAGGGAGACAGACACTGGAGTAGCAACACTTGGGTAGGAAAGACCAGAATTTCAGTTTTGGTTGAGTTTAAGGAAGTGGGCAGCTATCCAGTTAGAAATAGCAGAGAGGCAGTCAGAGACACTAGTCAAGAGGGATGGGGAGAGATCAGAAGAGGACAGATAGATTTGTGTGTCATCTGCATAGAAATGATATTCGAAGCCAAAGGAGCTAATGAGTTTTCCAAGGGTGGCAGTATAGATGGAGAACAGTAGGGGACTAAGGACTGAACCTTGGGGGACACCAACAGAGAGGAGTGGTAGAGAGGAAGCAGAGCCAGAGAAAGAAACTCTGAAAGAGCGCTGGGAGAGATAGGAGGAGCACCAGGAGAGCGCAATATCTTGAGACCGATATTGTGGAGGATGAGAA